AGGGCTATAGGAGCGGCCCGGCCGCGGTCAGGAAAGCCGGCGGAGGGCGAGAGGAGCGGCCCGGCCGCGGTCAGGAAAGCCGGTGGAGGGTGAGAGGAGCTGCCCGGTCGCCGACAGGAAACCTCTACCTCTCTCTCCCTCTCCCCTCCTTTTTCCCTGTATCTACCTCCCTTTCCTTCATCCACCTTTTTCTCTCACCACCTCCTCTCCCTTCCCTTCCTTGCCCTCGTGCTTCCCCATGTCGCTGTTTGTGTTCAGGTTAACAAGCTCCGATGCTCTTGTTAGACATTAGGCATAGTAATCTCGCACCCAGAGTGGAGGAGGTTCTGCCGGCTGCCTGGATGCTGCTTGTGCCCCCCCACCCCCTTTGCTGCATGCCTCTCTCTCCACACAATGGCTGTGGGGACAAAGGCGCCTTTCAGAGGCCTGAAAGAACCAGCTTTGCCGATGCCTTGCAGTGTCTCCTCCTGTTGGCTGGAACAGGGCTGGCTGCCCCACACCCACCCACACAGTCAGCAGCTTTCAAGCTGCTTGGCTAATAAGGGGGCGGAGCCTATCAGGGGGTGGAGTCTGAGGGGGCGGGGTTTGATGGGGCGGGTCTGAGGGGCACGGCTGGCTTCGTCTGCCCTACTCTGCCCTCGGAGGCCACCTGCTGCCCTGACCCCCCCATCCTGACAGAAGTGGCAGAAGCGGCTCATTCTCAGCCATTGTGTTTAATCCCCCCCTCAGTGCTATTCGTCACCGGTGGCGAGCTGTACCCCCTCCCATAGTAATAGAGGGGTGTGGAGAGCAGCGGAAAAAGTCCCAGCTGAGCCTTACTCTGTTCCTCCTGGGGGTGGTCATCTTTATGTCACACCCCCAAAATGAAGCCGCTGTGTGTGTGTGTGCTGTGTATGTTTCATCCTTCTCCACACACAAAGCAGACTGTCCTCCCCCCAGACAAACAGAACAATGTTATGATAATTAGTGGTGGGCAGGGTTCCGCTAACTGCTAATTAGCGAAGCTAACTTTTTCGTTAGAGGTAGAGGATTCGATAGAGGATAACTTTGAAAACCGTTTACGGACCAATTAGCTTCCACTAAATTTAATTGCGCTAACTATAAATCTGCTAACATTTTTTTTCCAGGAAAACTAAATGAACTTTAACAGTCAAAAGTATCTGTAAATCCTAAAATCACACATATTTATTTCAGTCTGTTGTGAGTGTGACTGCAATCCAGCATGCTGTTGGCTGACTACTTGTAAACACAAGATGTGATTGTCGTATTTACCAGAGTTTAAATGGACTTTATCACTTACATTTAACCCAGTCTACCTTAAATTCAAGTAAGCAAGAAATTCTGCTTGGGCCCCTGGTTATTTTCCACTGTTTTCCCAAGTTTTGAGTGACAGAGCCGCAGACTAATAAAGGGAACAGACCCTCCTTCCTAGTTCTGGGCAAAGGACACCATGTTTGTAGTCCCCAAGCACTCCAGCCCTTCAGAACTAAATTGCTAAACAGGTTAGAATTTAAGCTCACTATGGAGGTTGGGCTTCCAGAGCCCAAAACGAAACTGAAGCTAAATTCATATTATAAAAGTTAACGGCTAGTGGTTGTCATTAGCTTCCATTAAACTTTTTATTGGTTTACCGGTTTACTGCTATTGAATTAACCGTTGGAGTTAGCGATTAGCGGTTATCAAAGCTAACTTTTCGGTTAGCTGTGCCTAGCACTGCTGAAAATATGGCATATTGCACAAATGATCAAACCCCCAATTAGCTCTCTAAGCGCGACATTATCCCACATCAAAGTGCAGATCAGACATTCAAGTGACAGCTCACAGTCACAGCTCACAGTCACCCTCCCTGGGTTAGGGTTATCATAGTCCATGTGTGCATATCCTTTACACATACCACTTACTGTAAGCAGAATGTTTTTCAGGGTCACCTGCATACAAAACAGGCGTGTGCTGATATCATATGTGGGATGGTTTGCCAATACATGTAAAATGGATACCAGTATGTAAAATGGATACCAGTATGTAAATCATGTAACTCTCAGTGTGCTGGTACTGAAAATACACCAAAATGGCAGAGGGGCAAAGTGGCAGCTGGACACTGCTGGGTTATTCGGAACAGCACACGGGAGGAGACTGCCCCATCAGACAGCCAGTCTCTGGGCAGAGCTGCATTAACGCCTAGCACGTCACTGCATCTCTGCATCGCTAACTGGGTCAGTGAGAACTACTGAGCCTGCCCCCCAGCTCTGCAGTGGCAAACACTGCGTTTTACACGTCTCTGCTCAGAGAGCAGTTCAGTGTTCACACACATCTCCAAAACAGAGCAGAGTGACAGAGAGTCGTCCGTCATGGTGGACATCGCGCGATAACCGGGCCCAGGCCGATCCGTTCCAGTGCCTTTATACCCCCTATGCAAATGTCTGGGGGGGTCTCGCGTATGAGAATAGAAGGGGTGTAAACATGGGCAGACTACAGCCTTGCTTAAAGGACAGAGCAGAGCATAGAAGTCTCACACTCCAAGGGATGTGGAGACGGGCCCCGTCCCTTTCTGGGACATGGAAAACCGTAGAATCCCAAGGTACCTACACGTGTACTGTACAAGTACCAATACTCACTTTTGGGTATTCACCGATACAATTTTGATTAGGACTAGGTGATGTCTAAAAAAATAATTATATGCGTTATTTTAACTTAAAAATGAAGGGATAAATGATAATGTTGAAATCCCACCCAAACCGCATCACCAAGCAGGGCACAAAAAATTGTCAAGGGCTAAACAAAAGAGTACACACAATCCACCAAGCAGTCAGCATTAAGACTTGCCACTTGTGTTTTTTGATACTAAATGGATTAGTAGAGTTGTATGAACCTTACTTCATACCCCCTCTTGATAGTTTACTAAAGCACAGTCCGTTATGCTTTGAATTTCGTTGTTAATAAGTATTTCCACACTACACACACACACACACACACACGTTTGTAATTATATCTTTGTGGGGACTCTCCATTCATTTATACTGGGAAAACTGTAATCCCAATATGATGACCTTAAACCTTAACCATAGTAACCATTTTGGCTGACCACTTTTTTTGATTTACTTTTTTTATTGCATTCACAGATCTTTGTGGGGACCTGAAAAATGTCCCCACAACATAAAAATAACTGGTTTTTATGACATTGTGGGGAACATTTGGTCCCCACAATGTAATATAAACCTAATCCACACACACACACATATTACACCATGACCCACATGGCAGAATTCAGAGCTGAAGCGCAAAGCCTCCCGAGGAAGTGCCCTGTTTAACTGGAAATGCGAAACAATGTGAAATTCAAGGCATGGCCATGGAGGAATCCAGCAGTTCCTCTCTCTCCTTCTCCATC